AAATCAGGACCATGCCTAATCAAATCAGCAAAAGACCTGTAATCATGGTTTCAAATAGGCAAATGTCTTCTGTGCCCTCCATGGAAGGCTGGGGGGGGGGGGCATCCAGGTTCACTGAGAAAATGTGTTAATTGTGTTTGGAGACCAAGTTATCAAATCCATAGTTAATTTAGGTTTGGAGATCAGAGAGGAGAGAGTCTCCCAAACGTATAAGGCACTAGATTAGACGAGACAGAGAGGCAAAGAAGTTGAAGATAAGAGAGGGCAGGAGAGGAGTGCCTGCCCTCGCCAAGAGTCAAGACAAGAAGGGCATTCTAGGCAATGTGGGTGAAGTGTCTTGCCTAAGGACACAACAACAGGCTTTGACAAGGAAGTCAAAACCACACACCTCTCTCCAGTGGTCAACTTGATGGACCCACTCGCTCACTCAGACTGACCACGCCTCAGGAAGTAACAACAGCGGATCTGAGACACGTCACCACGGAGACCAGTGACAGTTGTGAAGGTGTCTCAGAGCTAGCAGCCCAGACATGTCAAGGAAACTCACACTATTGACTACAGACAAGATGAATCTTACTAAAGAAATCTAGTGTTTTAGTGATTTGGAAGCTGAGAATGGCTTTCAAAAGTTGATTTGTTTTTTTTTAAAAGTAGCATATACAATTTTTGTACATGCTTAATATAGAAAAAAGTGGGGCAAATGTTGATTTATTCTTTTATTCTGTTACAAAAGCATGATGACTTCCTTCCAGGACACTTTGGTTAGAAAAAGAATATTTATTTCTCAAATCTCCTAATAGTAGCTATGTATTGACTATCATTTCAAAAAAAGAAACAGCAAACATGTAAACAAAGTAAATAAACCAACAAAGAAATATTCAAATGGGGTTAAAATCCAAGCACTTAAAAACACCAAGAGGTTTTTCAAAATGAACCGAAAATTCTGCCTCAAAACAACATTAGCGTGTACAATTCAACACCAGTCTCTCTGCAAGTTTATTTTTTATTATTTTTTACACTATTCAAAGTGCAACAGAAACAATAATCTGGTCTCCCAGTTCTTCTGTATATCACAAACATGAAGTCCATTTACAAATCAGTTATGGCATTATAAAACATATCTTTTCAAAGGTAAAGCCTCCACTGGATGTCACTGTGCTGTGTCTTACTTTTGTTACAACATCAGCGAGAAGACGCAGAAGAGAAGGAAGTAGGAGACAGGCAGCGAGGAAAGGAACCGAACAAAAGAACCGAGGAGAAGCACTGATGGAGGAGGATGGCCGGAGGAAGAACTAACATCCTACTGTGAAAAGCCTTGTATTTACATCTTGAAATATGCCTGCTTTCCGTAAACTTGGACCGTATATTATTCTGTTATAATTTGGTAACATTTTGAAATTAAATGATAAAACTATATGCATTTTAAGCAGGCAATGAAACTCTAGCAGCAGTGTGACCTAAAAATAAACTCTAAAATAGACAGCATTAACAGAATGTGATGTAAAGTGCATTTCATGGTAGAAATTACTGTCATTGTTGGTGATTATAATGATTTTTTCTTTCTTTTGGTAAAGGATATGTGCACTAAATAACTTTTCTGGTGAAGGGTCCACCACCTGCTTGTCTCCAAATGTCATTGCTTTCTTTAGAATGTTCCACAGTATCGCACTAAATGTTAAAAGTTACAGGTTAGATCTACGGAGAGGTGGGCCCACTCACAGTAAGAATGCAAGTTTTTTTGGTGGTAAAACATGCAATAAAATAAACAAAAACAAGTTAATTTAATGCCATAGTGTGGAACAGTGCACACTTTTAAATTACTACTTTAAATTGTAACTTAATCGTATAAGTGGCACTTTGTAGAATGTCTGGCAAAACTGTTTTTAAAAAGACCAACAGGAGAAAGCCAAATCTTTGATATTTGAAAGAGATGAAGGGCTTGACAAAATCTAGCAGCAAAAACACACTTTATCTGTATTTGTTGATTTCTAAAGGCATTTTTGTAAATTGTGTATTTAATATTCTGTCTGATGTTCACCTTTGCCAGTATCCTTAATGTCAGTATATTTGTACCTGACAGAAATGCCCCTGAAATGCACATCCACATCAAATGTATGTAAACATAAATAACATGTTTTTGTAATATTTCCTTCAAAATCCCACTTTCTACAGCACTCTCCATTATCCAGGTCATGACAGTTTGAGTCCAGTTTGTTTGATAAGATCTGAAAGCAGAGCCCTCTACAGCAGAACTCAGGGTTCCTCTGTATAAACTCAAATATTTCGGCAAATCTACCAATCCCACAAAGCCTTCCTGTTTTCTGGAGTAGACAGAGAGACAGCTAGAGGGAGGGAGAAAGAAAGAGAGAGAGAGAAAGAAAGGAGGCCAAGTTCTCTTTTATAGGTCGCCCACTACACAATCTGCTGAGAATATGGCACCTTCCTCAAAGTGGGTGCTCTCTGTTCATCTTGTTATGAGCCTGGAGATGCTCACTCAAGTATGATAAAGTTGTGATGCTGTGTAAAATGTGAATAAAACCGAAGGTGGTTTTGTTTGCATCATTAAACTCACTCAAAACAAACATAAACAGGATTAAGCGCAGAGGACGATGATTCATATGGCTTATTCTTTGTCTGATACAGCCAATGTAGTGATTACATACATAGAATTAAATGACTCAGATAAAAACAGCGTATTTTAGGGTAGCGAAGCTTTTGAAAATCCAATACTAATAATGCCATTCCTTTGTAAAACGAAAATGTATCTGGAATATTACCAATTTCAATATTAGCTGACTCTTTTTTCCCCTTTTTAAACAGAAAATTTTGTTTTCTCAGCTTCTCTACATACATGATTGATACTTTGCAGCAACGTCACGCTGGGGGTTCTGCATTTATCTCTAATGGTGGAGTGTTTAGGAGGTACCGTGGTGACGCAATGTACACATTAGCAAACGCAGTCCAAAAAGTTTTTAAATTGTCTGAAAACTCAAGAAAAATGGATGTACAGTAAGCAGCACATTTTCAGGAGACTGCAATTAGTTCTAGAGTTCTTGATCCTGTTTAGGAGTTTGTGACTGTCATTTTGTGTGAAAGGCTTGTTGTAGTTCCAATTATTTCTGGTCAGATTGTGGTAAAATAAAGATCAGATTAAAGTTTAACAGAGCTTTAGACAAAGCAGAGTCTACAGTTCAGCTTCACAACCCCAGGGAATCTTGATGACTTGACATCAGCTGCAAAGTATCAACTGATAAAACAGAAAAGCAGCTAAAAAAGTTTTATTTTGATAGCAAATGTGTTTTATTCACATTTTACAAACTATTTTCAGAGTTGAGTTTGTAGACCTCCTTTCAATCTTGTATCTATAAAACTTGTGCATGTAACAAACCTCTTGTTAATGAATGCTTATGAATGTCACAACAGTAGAATACAGTGTGTGGTCAGTACTGTACAAATACGTGCCAATCTTGGATCCTTCTCTTTCAACCCTTAAATCACATATAATCTCTATCATCTGTAGCAACAATGTATATTTGTGTGCAAGTTACAATGATATGGCACAGGGACAAGGCATGGTGTGTCGAATGAGGTGGTAGCAGCAATCCATGTATTCACACACCACTGCCTCCTTAGTTGCGCAAAAATGACTCATGTAAACCAACGGAGTTAAAGTGCAAATGACAGGCCTGAAAAAACAAACAAACAAACAAACAAACAATAGTTAAGATTATATTTAAGATCTGACAACAACATTTTACAATATCTTTACCTGTTTTTGTTCCTATTTTTTAGGTTTGATTTTACTTTCTTGTTGTACATCAACTTTTCTGGTAGAGGGCCTGCCAGTTACTTGTTTCCATGGAGATGTTATTGCTTTGCCTGCAATGTTCCAAAGTATGGGGTTAAACTTGTCAATCTCCATAGACGCAAGCGGGAGACACCGCCAGGCCAATTTACAGGTGAGATCTGTGAAGAGGCGCCCCCACTCAATCAGAATGCATGATTTCACAGGTATTTCTGAGCCATAAAAACACCCCTAATTGAAAAAAATGCATCTAATATGAGTTTAATACCATATTGTGGAACATTACAGCGGACCCCCAACCTGAAAAGCACCTAGCCTCCATGTAGTACACTGGGCTGAAACTCCTTTAATGTACACAGGAGCTATGACTTGACACATAAAATAATAATAATAATAATAATTGAGTAGAAAAAAAAAATAAAAATTGTGTAAATTGTGTCAAACCTTTGGACAGAATCCTCCCAGTGTGACGTCATCAACATGGGACTCTCTAAAATAGAACTCATATTTTCTTGGTGAATTACTTCTTGACTGGTGTAAAACTATTATTTATATTTACAGCAGGTTTTAACTCACCAAATAGAGTCAAAACTCGAGAATCGTCAAAACCTGTCATATGCACTTTAAACTATGCTACACAAAGCATCCTTCTGCAATGGTGGGGTGGTGAGAGAGTGTCTAGAAGCAATATCCAATGACAATAGCAGTCCCAAGTGTTGAGTAGTTGATCCTCCTCCTTCGCCTTTAGCATATGTGCAAAGATCCATCCGCCATTTTGGACAGCATCTAGGTAGTCAAGAGTCAGCAGTGGAGGTGGACATATTGCACACACATGACTAACATCAACAGCTCCATTGAAATTTTGAAAGTTTTTGTCACACTTATGAACACTGTAAAAAATTCAAAAACCTTGAATAGCGGCTTCTTTATTGCAACACACTTCGCCTTGCTTTTTTGTCATCTCTTTTCCAAACACTTAGAAAAATGGTGCAAGTTTTTCATTGTATAGTTCGACGTAGGGAGCGGGTTTAAGAACGCGTTTTGGCAGTATAGTCTTGAAGTAGTGGGCGAGAGCAGGACAGCCAGAATTGGGCCAGAATCGGGGCATCCGTGTTTGATTTTGAGGTTGTTTAAAGTCTCCTCGTAGATTCCCACCCTGTGTAATCCCCCATCGCCAGCAGATATCGTCCACAGATCACATTCCAGACGCACCTAGTCCCATGCTGGCAGTGTGGCTCATACAGGGCAGGGTCTGGACCGTTTTGGGGAAGTCGTGGGTGAGGATTCGTCCGTTCTCGCCCCCGTTCCCATTCCCGCTCATCCTGGTCAGTGTGGAGCAGCGCATGGCGTCGTTTATGGATTGCTATAAAAAAGGAAAATGGAAAACACGGTTAAGATGGTGCTACGTTTTGGACAGTGGCTTTCGTATTTCTGATCATGTTTGGATTCGTTTGATCAGATATAGAAAGCATTACAGCTAAAATCTAAAAACTGGAGGCAGATCTATTTGTTTGTGGTGCTTGTACTCCATGGTAATTTATTTCAGTTTTTTGGGGGTTTCAGAATATTTTCAGAAAAGTATTTTGTTACCACTCTACAAGAACTACACCTTGATTAGCCTAATGTTGTTTCCTCAACTAAAAACATCCCCGAGTTGTGTTTTGTTTCATTCACACAAGTTTAACACACAAATCTTGCATATTTAAGCTCAGTTCTTGTCTCAAAGAAGAAAACATTCCTTTCCACTTTATGATGTCATGTGGTAATACAGGAAGTCCTCCACTGTGTTTTTAAACTCCACACATCTTCACCAGAATCATGTGGATATATTCATCCCTGGAATTGCCAACGTCTACTGAACAAAGTTGACTTGAAACTTACCGCTTCATGACATCACAGGGTGGAACAGAGTATTTTGAGTTTTGCAGATGTAGATAGACTAATAATTAAGGGTTACTCAAACATGTATGAACGAAACAAAAACCGGGAACAGGAACACAACTCCAGGAATATTTTTGAAGAGGTAACAACATTCTAACACGGAGACTCAATTTTGTGTTTTTACTCAAATACTCAAATGTTGCTTGCTTAGGGCAAATGGGGCAAGGTGTAGCTATTATAAAGCAGCGCCAAAAAAAAAAAGTTGGTGGCCGTTAACGTGAATAACTCCATGAATGTTATAACTAGAATAGACTGGCTTCAACTGTCAATTTCATTCTCTACAGGGCACTACTAGCCTTGCAAGACAAGCTAGGCCTGTGTTCAAATTGGCTATTATACGTGAAAATATAACCGGACATTTGAGGCGGTTAAATCGTTTCAGTGACCAATTCTGAGCATTGTCCTAGTTTGTAAATGGTGCAGAGCAGAAGTTGTTTTCACTCCCCAGTTGAAATCCTAGCAGGCTCTGAGCTGGAGAAACGGCTCTAACGATGTGTGCATGGACTTGTGTGTGTGTGTGTGGGTTTTCTGTGTTGGTCTGCCAATTTGGACTGATTCAATTGGGCAAAGCAAAGTGTAATGTGAAGCAACTGGTGAGTCTTTACGATTGGAGCCATGTTTTTCCTTACGAGCCAAACCGCATACAGGGATATCAGGTGCACATTCCCCCGCTAAAATCAAAATCTAACAATATTTTTTCCTTGTTATTGCGTTTGTGTTTATTTTTGTGGAGTGCGCATGAGGGGTTGAGTGGGCCTTTGATGTGAGAAGAGAAAATCAGATTTGGCTGTTGAAATTATCTAAATGGCTAAAAGGAAAATCAGGTGTTGAAGGAGTGGTTCAATCGTACGGTACATTTATAAGTGACAGACAATTTCAGAAGAAAAGTTGGGACGATGTGTTAAATGTGAATGAAAACATATTGAAAGAGTTTGCAAATCACTTTAAATACTAAACTATCTCATTCACAACAAACCACACCTAACCATAAAGTACTGCTTCATCGAGGTAAACACAACAAAAACAATGACAAACCTGGTCATTAATTCCAAATCAAATTAAACACTTTTCTGATGCTTATTTGCTTATTTGTACTTTCATGTTGCAACACTCTAATTTCCACAACATGAGATGAGAAAATCTTTTTAGTGACAATCTGATTCTTTGTTCTGTTTGACATTTTCTGGGACTTCACTTTCTCCTTTCCCTTTATTCAGTGCAATATGTATGTATGAGATATATGATGATTATATATGCATGTCCGTGTATTGATTGTTGTCATACTTGTTTTGGGGGCCAGGTCTACAAATGAACTCCGAGCTCAATGGCCTATGGACGTGGCAAGAGTTACACATAACACTGCAGAAATTAGTTTTGTTCTGTCCCTATCAAATAGTCATATAAATATTTATTCTAGATGCATGAGGTCCATACTGATTAATGCATTGATGGTGTTGAGATTCTTGAGATACTCCCAGATGGGCCAAGAGACAGTTTATTCTGTTGATTACAATGTACTTTCAGCTGAAATATCCAAAAGGTAAAATCCTGAACCTAATCGTTTCTATTGTTCAGACTGCAGGGCTTAATGCTCAATTCGGATTTTTTTTGCGAGGTTGTCACATTTCCAGTTAAATGTGACTTGTATGTGATCTCCAGTGTGAAATTTAAATGCCCCAAAAGTGTCCCGCATGCGCATTGGAGAACACGACACGACACGAGGAAGTCGCCTAAACATGGACGCTAGCACTGAGCACCTGGCCATTTTAAAGTCGCTGTCGTATCGGAGCCAGAACATGTACAACTTATTTGTTTTAAGGAGGAGATTGAGAAGGAGAAGGCAGTGGCAGCAGCGTCCGTAGAAAGGAACATGTGGGTGCGAAGTTGCAGCCAAGAGTGATGGGATTGCTATGTGCTTCGCTGCTTCGCTAACACGGAGTTCAGACACAATTTTCGTATGACAAGAAGGACATTTGTGTACGTTTGTGATGTGTAGGCGGGATGAATGCGACCTGCCGGTTCAAACTGAAGATGCAAGTCAAAGGATCGGATATGTATCGGTTTTAGGAGCACATATCCAAGTAGCCTGGGTTGCATTTGAAAAAATCAGATCTGTGTCATTAAAAGACACAGACAGGTCGCATAGGGGCAAAAAATATCGGATTTGGGTCACTTCAGGCTGCAGTCTGAACATAGTACACACTGTTTTTTTGTTGTTTTTTTTTTCATTAGAACAGACATCAGCATTTCAACTGTAATAATTTTAGCTGCCCCCAGCTGTATTAAATAATATTGGCTTACAGAATGTGATGATGTCACCCAGCAATACCCCTGAAATTTTGGGCCTCGGGTGGGATACTTAAGTCAAAGAGTGGCAGGGTTGACACAAAGACATATAGACAGACAACCATTCTATCTCACATTCAATCAGGTATGATGTTATTTCAGAGTTACAGGTTTTTATTCATGATCTATTGTAAATGATTTATAGTTAGTATAGTTATAGTTTTTGCATTGTGTTTTATTTACATTGGACACTTCATCCCAACTTTCCCATCACTGCTTTTGTTCTTCTGAAAATGCAACAGTTGGAGTTAGACTGTGTTAAAGCAGTGATGACACATGAGCCGCCAGGCTCCAGTCTTATGGCAGACAGATAAAGGATGGTCACCACAATGGCCCTGCTTTGCAAAGACAGTCAGCGAAAAGAGGAGAGCGAGGAGACGAGGTAGAGAGATATGTACCACTGTGATTCAAATTGCCCTTACACCTGCACTGCTGGGTTGCTAAAAACCATGGTTACTGGTTATTACAATCAATATAACTGCCACTGCATTAGAATTGTGTAGAAGTGTAAAATGCCAGCTCTATATATGAACAATGGGGAGATTTTCAAAGTGCTTATTACATTGCAAAGTTTGCCATCTAGCCAGAACTTTTCTTTCTTTGTTCCTTCCTCACGAATCTGAAAATGACTGCAAAGAGCAAAATTTGGCTCTAAGTAGCCAAAGATTGATCTCTATATTTAAGGATAAGGAGCTTACAAAGACAGGCCCACACTCACTTCAGAGTTAACAGTTTTCTCAAAGTGGGTTTTAAGTAGCACTGCCTATACATCCACAGAACTAAATGAAACTGAATGGCATAAGGGCAATTTTAAATCAAGTGATGGACAAGACTACGAGGTCAGTGACGAGGACGAGTGGTGACAGAGGTACAGGAGAGCGTTGCTTGCAGTGGACGCCATTTTGGCTCTGCACGGTTAGATGGACGGGTGAGCAGCAGTAGCATCATCATCATCATCATCATGAAGGCTTGAACACAGCGTTTCCTACCCCATAGCTGTTAGCTCTGCCCTTATATCTTAACAGTGTTGTTGGCGTACAGGCCGTAGCTCTGCAGCTCTGTGTAGGGGGCGCTAGCACCACTGTCTAAGGCTGAGCAGTGAAAGGCCTGAGCGGCTGTGGCGGCAGCAGCTCTCGCGGTCGACACCTTCATTCGGCGGGATTCGGTCCGAGACTTGTAGCAGAACTCCACCAGAGCCACCAGCATGGCCAAACCCAAACCACCAATCAGGATGTAGAACACGCCAGCCACGTTACTGAGGCTCAGAGCGCTCGTCTTGTCCTGGAGAGGGAGAGACGAGGGGAGAGACGGGGGAGAGCAGTTCATAAAGACATACAGACAAGCTTACACACAGAGATATCAGCAGAGACAATAGACACACACATAGTGGTTCTCAAATGTTTGATCTAAAATGGCATAATTGTATTGGGGTAAAGCTGAAGTAACTGACTATTGTTCTTGTAAATGAGGAAATGACCCCCCCCCTCCCATATATATATTAAAGCAGCACTTTGTCATAAGCACCGTCTACATTTAATTATCACTCTATTGATCGCAACACCAAAGAGGTTGATACATCGCTAAGATCTGTTTTGGGATGTAAGTGTTTTGGTGTCTGAAAAAACTGTATTACAGTGAAACTGGAACTAAACATAGGATTCATTTAGAACAGTGTATTGGGTTAAACAGTAGAACATAAAAAAAAAAATAAATAAATAACAAATAAAAACCCTGGGCAGTGGTGGAACGTAATGAAGTAAAAGTACTGCATTTAGGTACAAATTCTAGCTACAGCTTCAGCACAAATCTTTATCAAAATCACTAAATTTGAAGCTTTATTAGATATCAAAATCTGCATAAAATACATGTATTTTTTACTCTTTAAGCACATTAGCACCCAGCACATTAATAACAAAATACACATAAGACATAACACACTGTAAGGACATTTTTACTTAAGCTGGGTACTTTGCTCTTTGCTCCAGTATCTGTACTTTTTACTTAAGTAACAAAACAGAGTACTTCTTCCACCACTGTCCTCGGTTTTTTAAGTAAATATTTTGAATTTACCCACCCATCGCTGAATTAAGTCTTTGAAGCACAGTTTGAGAACCACTGTCATATACATACAAAACAACCATATAAATACATAGAAAAACACTAAGAGACACAGACAAAACATTCAAAGTTCACACAAATAACATACATACAAATACAAAGAAAATGCACTCACAAAACAGGAAAGAAATCTATCTCACAAAGCAATTCACTGCAATTTGGTGTCCAATACTTTTTTCAATATAATCTCCCTTGATATCCAAGATAGGGGACAAAAGCTAAGTACTGACAATTTTGTTTTTAAAGTAATGTCTTTCTTGGCTGGCTGCCTATTTAAATATTACATTCACTAAAAATGCATAAAAAAATGAAATAAAGTTAAGCAAATGACCGAAAAGAAGTAGGTAAAGGATTCCAGTGGTTCCATCTTTGTAAAAGGGGATTTTAAAGGTCCTTCTTCAGCTCATACTTACTTGAAGAGAGGAAATTAAAGCACTGAAATGAAGAAAAGGCCATTGCTCTGTCTTCTCATTAAAAACAGTGTCAGCCGTTTGATTTAACAGGGCGGATATTTGCGCTGAGATGCCATATTTTCTATTCCCTTTTCCATTCATGTTATATAAATGTATCAAGCCGCTCTCTTTGCAATCTGTAACTGAATGTGTGTTTGGATAAGGTGCAAGATTCAATATGTTTCTAATGTTTTGAAAGTTAAAGTGCATTGTGACAGATTTTTATGGTTCTCTAATTTTGAAATTACAGAAAGAGAAAAAATTGCAAAGAGAAGTTGAAAAAGTTGAGACATTTATCAAAAAATTTGGCACAGTTTACAGATATTGTAAACATTAATTTCAAAATAATAATGACAAATACAATCTAATAATAATTTTTGCGTCATTTTTGAGTTTTGCTCGGTTGCAGTAATAGAATTTCCTAATGTGATGTCACGATTTCCACCTAAAAGTAAAATTTTAAACCTAAAAAATGACCAGAATGGGAAAATGACCCAAAAAAAAAAAAAATAAATAAATAAATAAAATCTTAAATGCAATGATCTTCACTGTGTTTTAGTAAAATAAGTAGTCTACCCTGTCGTAAGCACTGACATAGAAGAAAGGACAAAACTATAAGGCCTCGTCACCCCATTCAGGGATACAGTTACTCTGATGTTAAATATGAACTTCTTTTAACAAAAAAACTTTGCTTCTTTTTACTTATACCACTATATTTTAGCTAATTTATTTAAAATACATTGTTCTATTATGAAGTTTTAACAGTGACAGCTTGTTTCACTGCTTTGTGAGATAGACCACGAGATTTCAGTACAACTTACAATCCACAACTTTCAATACATTAATCGTTTTATAATAATAAACACATAATTAAATGAACTTTAACCTAATTTAGCGACACACATTATAGGTTAAAAATGAGATCCCACTGGAAATGTTTGTAATTAACGCCTTATTTCACAATTTCCCTAAACTTCAATAGTCTGCCCCATAACCACAGAGTGTAACATCGTGCAGTTTTAAGTCTCTAATGGAAGGGAACAATTAGGATTAGGAGTTTCCCTGATGCTGCTCTAAACCCTTTGATTAGGTCGCACTTTTTCAGTTTATTACTGTAGGCCCCTGCTGACTCTTAGGCTTTCACTTTGTCTATTTGCATTATAACTTTATTTACTCCGCTTCCAGGGCTTATTTACACAACTAATCCAGTGTTTAGCTAAAATAATCCAATTACCTAAAACAGTACACTCAGTTATATAAGAGCCTGTAGAGTGTAGATTTGAGATATGGATTACAAATAATGGAAGAATTTAGTGCATTTAGTGAATTATTATTATTTGTTTAAGATTATGATGAGATGTAATGTTGTATTGATACTTTGCAGCTGATATAATCAACATTTCCTGGAGGTGTGATGCACTACTCAATCTGAAGCACTGTTACTCAAATTCAAGTTTAACCATAAAGAATAGAATTGAATGCCTCTATACTAAATGAGCTGATTTGTGCTCTTAAACATATTTCTCACACATAAAATTACAATCACAAGCTAACTAGTATTAGCCAACAGTTTCAGTTAGTCAATTTATGTTATTAGGTTCTTTTTTCAGACCAAGAGTTTGTTTTCATACCTCCTGCCTCCACTGGTAGGAAGATAGCGCCAAACCTGTATAAATCACCTGACCGGACACATCACAGCAACATCACGTGTCCACTCTGAGGAAGAGAGCTAGTGAGCAGTCGAAACTGTCAGGTATGTAAACAAACTCTTGGTCTGAAAAAAGAAACTGATGACATGAATTATTGGAAGACCAAATGAACCTCATTGGACTAGTTTCAGTTAGTCACTCTCACCTAAAGAGGCCCATGCATGCTCCTGAAAATGTGTTGAGTTTTCAGACAATCTTTAAACTTTATTGTCTATGTTTAATAATGTGTGCATTGGGCCACCACAGTAACACCATGTAGGACACCCCCGGAGCGATGTCACTGCAGAGTATCAATCGACTTCATCACCACCACAAACTAGTGCTGTATATTAAATGCATTTTACGCCTTTAGGTTCATATGTAGTTCCCTTGTGGACTATGCGTTCACAGGAAAACTAAATTGCAATATACTCGAGAGCTCCCAGTGGTAATGTTAGCCATCCATAGTAGACAATGTAAGGTATAACATCAGTACTATAAAGAGGGCCTTTAAATTTGATATGGTGTTATGATGTGTCTTGGTGTTATGCTTCAATATCCCAACCTCTAAATCTACAGGTCTACAAGTCTTCAACAAGTGTACCACCTCCAACACTTTAGATGAATAACTGTTTAAGAAATGGTTGAATAGTTATAAAACTGACACATCATGCTTTATTTAGCCCATTTTTCTTTTAAACATCCTTGTGGTCACATTAGCATGTTCATATCATGTTTTATAATGGCTGGATTAAGAAAACACACTTTAAAAGCAATGCCCTAGTTTAAGTGGGAATATTTGCCTTAGATCTCCCCCTGTTGACAGCAAGTATGAAACATGAAAAAATGTCTTTTAGCAGTAATTTACCAACATGGCTGTCAATATGTGTGTTTGTAAGTGTAACAATTTGAGTGCAGAAATGCTCAAAATGTGTGCAGTAATAGTTTATGGATTTGCCTTTAAAATGAGAATAACATTTCTGAAAATATTTGAAACTGCCTCAGACAGCACTGGCCTGACATGACTTTCTAATGCAACTTGGAAAGCCAGTACTCTCACAGTTGTGATGGACCAGTTTATCTGCAGCAAGATATCTGGACATTAGGCTTAATCACTGGTGAAACTCCTCAGGGATGAAGTCATTTCCGATCATATATGACCTTGTCTGAACTTTACTAAGAATGTATTAGTGGTGTTAGACTGTATTGGAGAATATAAGAAACACAAGTTTACATATGAACTCAGGTCTAAGGTCTGTCCTATGGTCTGGTGCTGAATGTGAGGTGACGGGACAGTCCCGCAGACTAACCTTTCGTCCTGAGTCCATGTCTCCACACTCCCCTTTATCGTACCACCATTTGTTTTTCAGTTTGTCTAAGATGGCTTGCTCATTGAGTTTCAACACCGCTAGGTTTACTGGAATTCTTCCGACATAAGGAAATAACATAAATAACATATGGCATGTTATTTTATGTTATTCAAATAGAAAGTAAAGTGCAGCATATACAGGGTACAAAGAGGTGGCTTTGTAAAAGAAAGAGTCACACCACACAGCACAGACATACAGGTTATAACATTAGATACAGTGATATGCGTTAATACTCCATCTAGCTCCTTCTCTCTGTGTTAGATGTGTATTATATATCACAGCGGGTAACCGGCCCACTGCTCGCTCTGTGCAACAGGGAGCTCTCACATTTGGAAATAACAATCCCAAAGAGCTTCAGGTTTAATTACACAACACACACAGTTATTTATTTTACTTCATTTTTAGGTCGTGCATCCTCCCTTGGCCAGCCCCTGATGCCCTCCCCAGGCAGTTCCCTTGTGTTGGCGCTCGCAGTGGATCGGTTACCCCCCCTCGCCCAGCCCCCCTCCCACACACACACGCACACACACAGGGCGTGTGGTGGTGGTGGGTTACCCGCAGGTTTATCAAACTGGCTCTGACCTTGGAGTCCCCGCCCCCGCTGCCGCACTCTCCCTTGTCGTACCACCACTTGTTTTTCAATTTGTCCAAGAGGCCCTGCTCGTTCAGTTTTAAGACTGCCAGGTTTACGGGGTTTCTTCAAAATAATATAAAACCATAATTAGGAAACAGATATAGAGAGATTGGTTGATCTCATGGTGGTGATCATGACAACATTGGCTTTGTGATAGTATAAAACTCCTGCATGTGGCTATTGAAATGAGGCAGGAGACTGGGGATGCACATGAGTTAGTACTGGACTATATCAGTAACAGTAAACCCATAGGTTTTACCAAGCAGGGGCCTCAGAGTGAGACAGGAGCTACACCGGGCGCATGCCTTGGATGAGACAAACTGTCTACAAAGAAGCAATTCCTTTTGATGGCACCGAACTATCAAATATATTTATCCATGGGCTCAAAATGGTATCCATAACAGGAATAAAACATCTGACTGACACCCACAAATTAGTTGTATTTTTGCAAAGTTAAGTTCACCATCAGTCGGTAAGTTTACAAATCCATTTATAGCACAAGTTTGTAAATTGGACTAATGCCTTTTAATTCCAATCAACATCACGTTTCCAATGCATACCAATTGTTTGTGCTGTTTCAAGTTTTCATTGTATTTGATAAGCAGTAAGACAGTAGTCCAGTTTCCTCTCATATAAAGTTACAGACTGGGTTTTTATAGAGAATGTACCATCGAAAGGAAAGTGCACGAACAGTCACATCCAAGGCATCCTCCCCTAACTCTCTCTCTGGCTTCTCCTAGAGCTGACTGGCTGTGGAAAAAGACCCTCTCCATCTACGCTTCAAAGCAAGGCAGAATCGGCATCAGATTAGCATAATTTGGTATTTTTTTCCCAATCAGCACCCATTCTCCTCTCTCTCTTTGCTTTTTCGGATGAGCAAATTCTGCCTTTTTTTGCTAAAGTAGGTGCAGAGAGTCTCAGTCCACTGCCGCGACTTCACAACACAGCTGTAGGTGTCCTCAGAGCTGGTAAAACCTCTTATTAAAATCAGACTAAAAGAAAGAAATCATGGATGAGCTGTTAGTCTGCAGGTTTAGTGCGATGAGGCATTCCAGGCA